TTTGATTGATTTGTTTATGGGTATGTGTAGAGGGGAGTGAGGGCTTTCCGATGGTATGGAGGTGCGGTGGTTTGGGCGGTGTTTGGCTGGGAATTTTTGGCTTCAAAGGTGGCGGCTTAGGGGTGATGGTTTTTTTCAAATTTGGACTCGTTTGCACCTTTTAAAAAGTTTTTTGGACACATAATTGCAATGTGTTCTTTATTATTATTATTTTTTTTGCTTTTATTATATTTGATTAGGAGGGTAAAATCGCCAACATATGGTGAAAATGACCTTCGGCTCACGAAATGTTGAAGATAAGGGCATAATGCCAAGAAATGAAAGGTAGAGACGATTTCCACAATACATGTCAAATGTAGGGACATTTTGTGCCAATTACCCTTTGTCAAATATACTAATACCTATTCGACCCCATTTTTTAAAATTTATTTTTTCTTTAATTCAAATTAAACTATTCATTTTATGGGACTCGTAGCTTTTTTCAACGTAAACCAAATAGAGACTAATAGTATGGAAGTGTTCAAAGACTCTTCGAGCAACTTGAAATATTGAATAACTATTTCAAGAATAATAATAGTTAAAACAAGAATTACGAAAATTCAATTTGGGCCAAGACCATATCGTAGGAATGTTTATGTTAGGGAACAATACATTTTTAAGGTATTTACTTTACACATTTTCAAAAATACAAAAACAAGTTTGAAAATTCAAAAATCAGAATTTTTAAATATTTAATTAATAATTAATGAATTATTAAATCAATTATTTATTAATATATTTAATTCTAATTTAATATAATTACCCCACCCCACCTCCACCACCCCAACCGACTTTCCGATCACCACTATTCTCCGGCGACTGTTCCGGTGACCGTTCCGGCGACTATTCCGGTAACAGATTTACAACTTACGGTCACAACTCAAAAATTTTGTAGGTCACAATTAATTCGTCGGTCACAAATTTCAAAATTAGTTGGTCACAGATCAAAATTTATAGGTCACACAGTCACATATTTCCAAATTAGTTGGTCACAGATTTTTTTTTT